CGCGTTTTAATAAGCGTTTCGGCGTTTTCTCGGCGTCGTTCGCGTGATTTTTCGAGTAGCCGACATCGAACAGCGGCATTCTGATAATAAACTGCGCTATTGAAGTTTCGGCGATGCGGAACGCCATGGTCGGAAATTACCACGGAAATGTCTTTCAGTTTGCGCTCGATGCCACTGTTGCCCCGACGAACGCCGCCATTCATTTCCGGAAGCGTGTGCCGATTTCATTCTTTCCATTTTTTTGTTTTTGTTTCGTTTTTTTGTTTATTCCCAGCCAAAAATAAAGCAGATCGCATGATGCGCCTCGGTTGGTCTTGTTTTCGGGACGGGCTGGTCGTCTTAAAAGATGAACAGGAAATTAAACGCTGAACAATGCACCGTTTCGCGTGACTCGACTGCAGTCGTTCTTCGAATCGTTTCACAATAACGAACACGGCGAACGACGGTGTAACACGTTCGCCGACATTATTTGTATCGGTGAGAATCTTACGAAATACGGAATGATCGTGGTAATTGATATCCGTTTTAGTGGCAACGCGATCGCGCTTCTTGAAGTTTATTTGTCGTCTTCCTTCTAATTATTTATTTTTACTCTTTGTCATCGCCTAATTAAAAATGGAACAATAGAACGATCGCACTATTCAAAATTCTACTTAAAAATAGAAAAACGCGATCGCGCTTTTCGAAGTTTACTTATTCGTCTTCCTTCTAATTATTTATTTCTATTCTTGTTATTGCCTAATTAAAAATGGAACAATAGAACGATCGCACTATTCAGTATTCTTTCATCTAAATAATAGAAAAGTGTCATTCAGTTTGTGAGGTGAAACGAAAGAAGCGCGATCGCGCATCTAGAAGTTTACTTATTCGTCTTCCTTCTAATTATTTATTTCTATCCCTGTTATTGCCTGCTTAGAAATGCAACAATAGAACGATCGCATTATTTAGCATTCTTTCATCTAAAAATAGAAAAGCGTCATTCAGTTTGTGAGGTGAAACGAAAGAAGCGCGATCGCGCCGCTTGACAGTTTTCGAAGAGGTTTCTCAAAGGACCCATGGCGCACAAACGGTTATGTAAAGAATTCTTTAGATGTGGATATATACGAGTCCCTCCATTTTTAATCAACGCGACAAACAAGTGGACGCATGATTTAAAATTCTTAACGTCTCAGTGGCGGGGACCAAACCTAACAGTTTCAGAAGCGAGAAAAAAGAAAGAATGTGATCTCGATCGCACGATCGATCGACTTCGAAGCCGTTCGACCACCGGTTTGTTTTCGTAATGAATTATTTAAAGGGCCGCGGCACCTTACGGCGACTTCGGAGAAATGAAAAATGCCCGCGCTGAATAATGCATCGGCCGCGAGAATATTTCGAGACTTATGCGGGTGGTAATCGCAACCGGCTCTACGCTACTCCGTTCTGATGCGAAACGGAAACCGAAGGAAAATAAACCACAACTTTCTTGAGGATCTTTATACGAATATTTCTTTCCATCACCAAACTGCCAATGTGCACTGTATATTCCTAAGAAGTACTCTCCGAAAATCCGGGCTGGAAACATTATTCCCTTCGTCTATTTCCGGAGATCAAATCTGGAAAATGTTATTTTTTCCGAACACGTTAAAGGACAATTAATACTAGAACTACCGTACCAGTCAAAATGACTGGTTCCGATTCTTTTGTTTAGCAGTTATTGATATCTTCGAAGCATTGAATGTTCGAAATGATTTTTAAAATAAATAGTTTCATTTCAGTGCTATAGTGAATGTCTGAAGAAACTGAAAATAATCTATTGTTACAATTTTTATAGGAATCGCATATTAATCGTATTAAATGCTCGGTAGTTCCAGTGTTAAAATGTTACGGTTGAACCGAAATAGTGAAAATAATTTTGTTAGAATTTTAGAAAGTGTCTTTCGACACCATCGATTATGAATGCTGTTATATTAATAGACTGATTTATAAGTTCATGCGGTCGTATCGAGTACACTTCGTAAGAATTATTTATCAGCTCTATATATTTCAAACGAAACCTAATTTCCCCATGCGACGAAACCGCACGGATTGACAAGTGAATCCAATGAATTCAATGTTCATTTAATATCAATCGCTACTATAATGTACCACGCACACATTCTAATTATTAAGTATAATGAATGTTTAATGCGAAACTAAAATCACGTTTGATTAAACTTTCAAAGGATGAATCGGAATCGGGGTAGAAAGAGATCGAAACGAGTCAACAGCGTAGACTGTAATTATCAGTCAATTATCACAACAGCATTATCGAACGTATCCACCGTGCGCGTGTACCAACGCACGTGAACGCGATTGTGACAAATAAAGCAATTACGAGAAGATAATCGAATAAAACTGTCGAATAGAAAATAACATTTCTAGTTACTCGTTGGTTGCTATGCAGAGTGTCATCTAGTTGTATAATGTTGTTTTGAATGACTCTACAGTTTTTTCTGTCCCCTTTTTCGCTGCTTAACCAGTTAACTGTGTTTGACGACTATATCCGTCATGGAGATGTGGCAGAATTTTGTGTCACGACGATTATATTACGTTATATGCAGAGTGTCATCTGGTAGATCCGTTGCTCGGCAATTCACGAAACATAGTGGTAACTCAGTGGCAACCAGCGCTGCGTTCGTAATAGCGAATTCCATTCATAACTGTTGTACTCATCAATTAACTGTACAGGACTTTTAGAACGGAAGCTTATCGAGAGTGCACCGGGAAACTTGCAACCGTCCGAAACGGCCGAAACTTGCGCGCCGGTATCGCCGCCGATTCGCGGAAACTTTTTCCGCTGTGCGACAGAGTTCGGCTACGTGCAGCTGGTGTGTCGCGACTGATAGTTACGGAGTTGACCTTTAGCGCTCGAAAGTTTCATCCATATCTAAGTGTGCCTGGAACGTATAGGCAAGATTTTTCGGTGGAACCGTGACCTAACTTCCACTGATTCCAACGATTCCATGCCGGCCATGTAATATGCATGTCACTGATTTAATGAATTCGTTAATACCTTATTCCGAGGGGATACAGAATTGTTCGGAGGAACTTTGCGAATACTGCTCGGTGCGAGATGGAACATAGAGCCGACTAGAGTTGGGTAAAATCCAATTTCACTGATACACTGTGGATATTTATGGGTTTATAAAACGAATACATTTATTGTAAGAGTACTTGTTATACTACTTTTATCTCTGCGAATCTTCTAGCTGGCGAAAGTAGCTTCCCATCGTTGATTTTTTATACATTTTAGTCAGCTGTGATTCTAATTTCAATCGTCGAATAATCACTTTTCATATAGAAAACGCTCGCAGAATCTCGAAAAACCCTCAACGACTCAGTTAAAACCCACCTACGACTACCCTGTCTCACCTCCACCCTAAAATAGAATCCAAATCCTATTGTCAAGTATCTATATAACATACATTAATATAATCATACACTTTAACCATCTTAATCTCGCCAAAAACATAGAACAATCAGCTTGTCACTCGGTAATTCTCAAAAGCACCATCTCAATTTCCCGCGAAACCGCTCGTGGAATCTCCAAAAACCCTCGACGACTCAGTTAAAACCCACCCACGACTACCCCTGTCTCACCTCTATACGGAGGCAGAATCCACAGCGCAAAATAAAAGAGAGCGGAGTTCTCCGCTTCGAACGATCGATGCTCCGACGAAAAAAAAA